GTTCCCCAGTAACCCCTTGATAATAAGGTACCCTTTTCCCTAATATTCAGGCTTAATAAGGAAACCCAAAATGAAAATGGAAAAGGGTACCTAAACCCTAGACACTATACAAGGAACCCAGGAGCAAAATCAAAATATTGGCAAGAATTCGGGCTTCTACATGAATCCGTCGCTTCGACCACTTCCCCCGTATGGGAACCGATAAAACCCGATAAACCTCTTCGTGAAAACCGAAAAAAAGAAAAGACTGGAATTCCACCTGTATGGGGGCTCTTCGCATTATATACGCATATTATGGTACCCTGAACCCTACATACCCATTAGGGTGCCTTAGCCTGAGTCTGGGTAACCTGTGTGGGGGCTCTTTGTTTCGGAGGTCTTGAAATTAGCATGGAGAAAAAATAGAGACAATGTATGAGGCCCAATCCTGATTCTGAGAAATATCCGTTCCCTAGAGCCCTAAACCCTAAAGCGTTTCAACCCACCCCTGGGGCTCCGCACGCGCTGGAGGATGTCGCGCACACGGAGCAAAATCGAGACCACATCGCCTTTCGAAACGTCGCCACGGAGACCCATGAGGCCATTCCTCGAAAAGCCACTTACTGAGGGATAGTAGGGAATAAGGGAATATATTATATAGGCATGATATAGGGATTATGTTCCCACATTCCCTACCAGCCACTAGTAAGGCAAGCATACTGGGGCTTAGATTGGGGCTGAGGGTTACGGATGGCAAGGCCATCTATTCAACTCGTTTAATATCTCCCAACCCTGCCAGAAGCCCTGGTCATTTAGAATTTGTTCCTGTTGTTCTTCCTTAGGGGTTATAGGGGTTATATACGGGTTATGGGGTTATATAGGGGTTAAGTAGGGATAAGGGAAAAGAAAATGGAAACTACCAGAATATGAAAAGGTATGTACTGATGTGCGTAGCCGTGCATACACATCAGGATGTATCTGTGACCATGTGGGCCGGTGGCCAATCCAAAACAAAGCGAGCCAACATTAGATTACATCCGTCAACATGTATGAGACACAGGGTGGAGCTTCTGCCGGTGGGCCAAGATCTGCAAGCAGATCGCCAAACCTGGACCCCAAAGCACACGTCCTGAGCCCATAACATCCAACATAAATTGCGACAGAAAATCCGAGGCCCAAAACTATGAAGCGAGTTGTTGTTAAGGAACTTGTGCTAAGTAATCCTGATTTCTGAATAGTATGGATGTATCGTGAATATAGCGGTGACTTAGCTTAGGTGCTTTACACCAACCCAGTAGAACCACTGGAGGGCCGAGGAACAGCAGCTCTTCGACGGAGAGCTCACCCCCAGAGTCCTGAGCTTGGCAGGTTGAATCAGAGTTTAGGGTTTAGGGTTTAGGGTTTAGGGTTTAGTGTTTAGGGTTTTGGGTTTAGGGTCAGCTCTTGAAGTTACACCTTGGACCCTACACCGTACAACCTAAACCATAAACCCTAAACCCTAAAACCAGTAGAAATGTAGGGGGGGCTTTGCAAAGGCTTGTTCAGGCTGCTCAAGTTGCACTGCAGGAGTCGGTGGTGGGGATTTCTCCCCCCGCTAACGTCCCAATCCGGGCCACCCTGAACATCACTAAACTTGGCCCCGAAGCTCACACCACAAACTCGTAAACCATAAGCCCTGAACCCACAACCCCAAAACCCTGAACCCTAAACCCTTGCACTCCAAACTCTTCTCCCTAAACCCTAGGCCCTAATCCCCAAATCATAAACGCTAAACCGCTACACCTTCATCCTCGCGGGGAGTCCTGACTCGACAGGGCAGCCGGACAGGAAGAAGCCCCAAAAACCCAAATCCTAAACCCTGAATTTGCTGGTTGCTCGTAGGGAAAACGGGAAGACATTGTGGGATTCAGGGTTTAGGGTTGAGGATTATTAGGGAACCCAGGAACATATTAGATAGGGATTATATCCCCTTTTTCCCCTCTAACATCTAGTAAGTAAATCCGGGGTGGAGCGGCTCACCAGGAGGGAGTTATTCTCAACCTTAAGCCCTAAACCTTGGGTACTGCCCCCACCCAGTAGCAGTCTATATTACCCATTAAGGGCTATATATAATCATAGTATATTTATTGTCCAACTGTTACTGAGGGGGGGCAGTACCCAACCTAAACCCCTAGACAATATACCGACTATCTCGAGAAGACATGAGGTTACATCAGGACCTACATTGCAAAATTGTCTTGCGGGCAGTTGCCTTTACAGAAACAAATTGCAGAAAGCATTAGGGTCATTCTCAAAGTTGCGTTCCCCTTCGCAGTACGGCATCCAACATTACGTCATTGCGGGCACAAACATGGCCCCTACTTTTGCAAGCGGTACCCTGACGAGCGCTTAGGTCTCCTACTCCTGCCTTATGACTAAGCCGAGTTGTGCACTCCCAGCCCATTCCCCCTCTGTGCGTGTGATCTCTTTGTTGCTAGTAGGGAATGAGAAGGAAAAGAAAATAAACACTACCATACCACTAGTATTCTACAGGACTTACTCTAGGCATCCATTCCTTCAAGTTCATTGCGTACAACCAACTGGATTTGAAGCTTTGGTTTGGATACCTTCCCCCCTGACTTCCTAACTAGGGGTTCAATATATACAGTTACCTTTCGCAGAAACGTTTTTACGTGCGATCGCTGTCTTTTTGGAAGCTTGGCTACTGCACAGCCAGCAAGAGACGCAAGGCTCAAGCATCTCCCAGCAACTGTAAGATTGGTCTGTGGCCCCGCCCAAGTGCCAGTGAGCGGGCGGTCTGTCCATCCGTGGCCACATGCTCCTTATCTGCACGGACCTGGAGCAGCAGCTGCACAGTCTCAGTTTGGCCAGCATTGCATGCGAGCAGAAGTGGGGTGTATCCAGATTTGTCAATGACCTCCAAAGGAGCTGCGGCTTCCAAAAGCAAACTCACAACCTTCTCACGTCCCTGCTTGCATGCAACTTGAAGAAACACTTCCATGAGGCCATGACCTCGTGGCCAGTCCAAAAGCAAGGTTGCAACATCATCCTCCTGGCCCATGTAGGAAGCTGTGTAGAGAGCCGCATACTGTTTCTTTGATGGCTTAGGAAGTTCAACCAGCTGAACATCAGCTTCCATATCCAAGGCTTCCTGACCATCCAACACGTTCCCATTCTGTTCAAGCTTGAAGAAACTCAGAGTGCAGCGCTTTCTTAAGAGCTGCTTCAAAGCTCGTACGTCACTCAACTGCTCCGAGGGGATGTCAAGCAGGGTTCGCCCTGCAAGTGACAACACGCGCACCATTGCAGCAGGTGAAGGCTGGGCTAAGATTTGCCTACTGGGTTTAGGGTGTAGGGCTTAGGATGCTTTGTAGTGGGGAAGATGGGCATAGGGATTGTATTCCCCTATCCCCTATCAAGAGCCAGTGAATTTGAAGCTTTGCATGAAATGTTTTGCAGTCCTCTGAAGCATGTGACACAGGGTTTGTATTTGCGGTCCCACTTGGACACCCAATACATACACTCACCTGTATCCCTAACGAATCCTATATACACTCACCAAGAACCATAATCAACACATATCAAGACCTATCCCTGCTCCCTTCAGCCACTACATTACCACAGTGTCCATTGGAAAAGTTGCTATTCTATTTGATTCGCCATCATTATGTACTACGTCCCTTTATATCCCCATAGATTCTTTTCAAGAGCCCTACTCAATACAAGCCGGAACTTGCAAACTCTGGAGGCCCTGTCTGTGGGGTAGACCAAAACAAGGGTGTTTCCGAAAATACGGGTTCCCGTTTGGGGATCCCCATGATAAGGTTGAGTATGTTTAGGGGCCTTTATCAAGGTAAGAAAGATGTGGTTCATAATTTCCCCATGTGAGAGAGACCAAGTGTCTCTACCCTTTCGGCCTACTTCGAGACTGACATCATGCTGGTGTGAACCTGTGAGGAATCAGGGTGTAGGGTTTAGCCGTAATGGACAAGACTCTCCTGGAGACAGGACCTGGTTCATTTCGGCTGAGGCATTCTCTAACTTCAATCTAGCTTTGTACACAATGGCTCCGCACAAACCTTGAGTAAGCGCCTGCGGGACAATCAAACATACTTTAGGACGACCCCCACTCTGTACTAGTGGTATAGTAGGAATATAAGAGGACCCTGAGATAATCCTTATTACCCCTTATTGTCACTATTTCTGGGTGGGGGGTCCACCTAAAACATACCTATGCTGAAACACCCTGTCGTTACTCACCACAGTGCAGTTCTTCAAAGCTTCCACCAGCCCGCACACGCGCTGCACAAATTGCCATACTAGGCAAAAAGCCAACGGGCGTCGACAACACCCCGCTTTCTTTGCTTCGGACTTCTTCTGCAATATGCACCCAAGGCAGCTTTTAACAAAAAGTTGAGGACAGCCTGAAGTACAACCTCCCGGGCCCCCAAACATTGGCGGTTTCCTTGAATAGGGGGACGCCAACATAGATTCCAAAATTCGATAATCCTTCTTATGGGAACCCCCAAAAAGGTATCAGAGACCCCAAATTTATATATCCCTGTATACCCCTATACGTCCCTTAGTAACCCCTTTGAAGGTACCCCTACTTGTAAACCCTGATTAGACCCAAAGCCCTGGGGCAGAAATGCTCACTAGGTCAGGCCATGCGGCAACATCCAGGATGTTGAAGAGCTCAAACCTGGGTTTAGGGTTTAGGATTTAGGGTTTGGGGTTTAGGGTTTGGGCTTCAATTCCTTCCTGTGGGTTGCTGTTAAGGAACTTAAGTTAAGTTAGCATAATGGGTATATATAATCAATCATAGGGTTTCCCCAATATAGTAACCTACATTAAGTTCCTTCGCTGCAACCCTATTCTTTGTGCTTTGTTTCTTACTGTTTTCTTTTTTTGGGCGGTTTGGAGTTGGGGATTCAGGCTTTCGGGGTGACAGGGCCACCCAGAGAAGATTTGAAGAATGAGCTAGAAAAAGCTGCCGCTTGAACCACCCCTGCTGCTCACACGAGAACCGGTGCCGGGAAGACTTGGGCATTGAGGTGGACCTCCTGAACCTTGAGGATCTCAGGCTTAAGCCTGACAGAAAAAAAGTGATTGGTCAGCCCTTCGCGAAATATGCATATCGTGGGGTGGTATGCCCAAAGCGGTTTGCCATACCTTTCATGCAAGATAAAGGTTTGGCTGGTCGATAAAAGGGCTGTTGCCCTGGCCTTGCGCGGCCGCAAGGAACACTTCAAGTCCATCATGTTAAACATGCACCTACCTACTGAAGGGCCTCCCGATCTTCGCCGGAAGCCGCCTACCCAACCCTAAACCCTTATCATGGGTCTTCCGGCTTCCGTAAAGAAGAGTGGTCCTCTTTTGGCAGTCCTTGTATTACTGGTGAAAATTTGCTGAATCATACAAGGAGGACCCCTCTTCTTGGAATTTCCCGTTGGCATCTTTGCTTCTAAGCTCTGCTGCATGCTCCTTCTATGTAGATGCTTGTGCCACCTTCCTCTCCTGTTTCAAAAATACCGCCTCCGTGTCCTCTGCATCTTTCGTGTTGATAGGCCTTGAGCTTTCGGATGCAGAGTGCAGAGGGCCTAGGGCCTAAACCGTATTCCTGCACCCTGCCCTCAACATGAGCGAATGTAGGGCTGACGCACAATTTGCTTCCTATGCTTCCTATGCGGGGTTGTAGTACAGCCGAGAATGATCATAGGATTGTGTGGCAAACTGCGATGTCATAGTGCCAGGCATGTGTTCATGAACACTCTCAGCAACTATACCTGCTGCCACAGAAGTGTCACTGAAGCTTGCGCCCTACAACGCAGGATGTGATCACAAAGTGTACCTAGGAATGCTACCTTCAACCCAGTCATCATAGTAATCCCCTCCCCTAGTATTGCACACCCCCCCCCCACTCCCCTATGCTAAATTCTCCCAATATATTATAATACACCACATAACAGGAGTATTCAATATAAGGGGGCGTGGGGGCTTTAAAACCCTAAACCCTAAACTTAGGGGTGGGGGTGTTAATATTAGGGGGAAGGAGTATGGCCTTGGGGCTTGCCGCTGTCTTGGTTCCATCAGGTGGGACTCCCCACATGGACTGTTTTGGGTTTAGGGTTTAGGGTTATGAGCCCCTTTTGGTTCTAGATTATATAACGGCACCTAAGATCTAGGGGTACCAAAATGGGACCCCAGTTTGGGGGATTACTCACATAATGGTGCCTTCTGAAGGACGGAACTCGCCAATTTCGGGAATTTGCCAAAAAAAAAATGTAATTTCCCAAATTCAAGGGACCCCAAATACTGTGACCCCTCTTATGGGGGGACCCCGATAAGGTACCCCTAACTTGGAAAAATCCCCAAAACGTCGGAGGTCTTACAGTGCCGAGCTTAGGTTAGGAGCTTGTTGGAGATGTCTACTTCGGCCTCCTCAAGGACGCGGACAAATTCCGCATCCTGAAATCAGGCGGCGTTTTACTCACTCTTAGCTGGGCATGGGGGCCTGGGGCACGCGGATTGACAAGGGGACCGTATAAAAACTACTAAGGAGCCGATTCACCTTGTCCAACTAAGCACGAAAAAGTTTGGGGGTGAAGGTGCAGGCAGGGTTTTATATTGTATGGCTCAAGGGCAAGTCTCATGTGATTGCGGCACAGAGCAGGGAATCCTGTTTAGGGCTTGGAGAGCAACGTGTAAGGCTAAAGGCTCAAGGCTTAGGATCCTCTACCATAAGCACTAAACCCTTTTTGCAACAGGCTTTCTGAGTCCGCCCAGTAATCAGAAGCCCAAACCCTAAGGGATGCAGAAGGCAGGACTTCAAGCTGATGATTGGGGAGAGGCTCGCAGTGGGTGAGGTACTTACAAATGGGCATAGGTAGCATAGACTTGTTCTGACCAACGGGGCTAGGTTGATAGGGTCCTCATTTCAGGGGTCGGGGCAACTAAGATCCCCCCATCATTCAGGTCCAAGTCGTGGCAAACAAGGCTCGGGTATGCAAGCGCTCCTTTTGACTAAACCTTTCCTGGCTCCTTCTTGGGATATGAACCAATTGTGCAATGTCACCTTCCTTATTGCTTCTGCAGTGAAACACTGCACAAAGGCCCAGCATCACACCATTCATAGCACTACTACCATGACCATGACACTACAAGTACCAGTAACAGAAATTGTCCTGGGGCCACTGAAAATGCTTTCGAAGCCCTGAAGGTGGTCTCTGGCTGTAACAGTTTCCTGGGTTGGCATTAAAGGTTGAACAGAAATTGCCGGAAGAAGGAAACCGTATTTACTGTGTCTCCCTGCTATGGGAACTTACGAAACCCATATGTCATCCCAGTCTCCATTCAGCTCTACATCAATTTTCCAGCTAATTATTCATCATGGGAATTTGTGAAAACCGTAAACCCCAAACCCTCATTGAACCCTAAACCCTATTAGCAGCAGCCCAGTTTAGGGCCTACAGGGCTCATACATACCATGGGTGGCTAGATGGGGCTCCAATGTCTTGATATCTGTCCCTCTTCGCAGGGTATTGCTACTCTGGATGGGTTACTCTGGGTGCGGTTCGGCTTAAGGTTAGGACGGCCTGCCTAACCTAAACCCTAAACCCTAACCCGCTCGTTGGATTGGCTCAGTTTGAGAAGCTTCACAGCTTACTCACTACTTCTTCACCCCACACCTGGATCCTTGCATACATCACTCCAAGGACCGCTAGCGACTGTGAAAGCTTGCTGCAACAGGTTTAGAGTCTAGAGTTGTGGCTGGGAGGCAAGATCCATGCAAAGGAAACCCCAGTACAAACGCCCGCACGCAAGCAAACTTAAACATCGCCGGCAAGGCCACCACATATTCTCAAGATACCTCATCACGCCCCAGCCCCTTCTTAATCCTAAGCCCGAAATCCTAAAGGCATCCGAAATCCCAGTCCCAAAGTCTAAAGCCTAGACCTTATAGTCACCCTTAAGTAGATAGAATATGGCTTTAAGTACATTATAATAAGATCCCCATATACCCCATATTCTATCTACTTAAGGGGGACCTTAGCCGTAGAACGGCATGAAGGGGATTGCAGATCTGGCGGTCCTTCAACCATGCTTGGAAAACCTCGCGGGTGATGTTGATGTGGCATTCCTGCAACAAAATGATTTAGGGTTTAGGGTTTAGGGTTTAAGGGTTTAAGGGTTTAGGGTTTAAGGGTTTAGGGGTTTCGGGTTTAGAGTTTAGGGTTTTGGGTTCCACTATCCCCCAAAAACCCTAAATCCATCAACCCTAAACCCTATAAACCCCCAACCCCCAAACTCTGTCCCAGACTTAAACTTGATGGGTGGTCGGGCTTTCACAGAAATCTTCTCCCATCTTCTCCCCCTTGTGCTTGGGGCAGGTGATCCCTGTTCACTATGAGACCCAGTGTCAATTTAATTTTGAATATGCGTTTCCATTTGGCTCTCCATTCGTCAGGCGATAATGGCAGTCCTCCAAGACTTGGAAGGCAGCATTGGCAATCCTCTTTTGCTCTGCTTGGTTACGGCCTTGGAACTGGCTGCTGAAGCATCGTATTGGGCTTGTGGGGCTACGGGATTGCAGAAGTTGAGGGGTTGCGGGTTCAGGGCTTCCCCACGTTCACCCAGCTAAACTTAGCTTCAGAGGCTGGGTGTTTTTTAGGGTGCTTCGTACTTGGATGCTGTCATAGAAATTTCCTACAGAGACCCTGAAGAGCCTGAATGGTGGATTTGGGGTACCGTTTCAGGGTTGTACCCCAAGGGTTGTATTCTTGTCCTTCGCGTGGCACTTAGCACCCCCACTAGAAGCAACTTTTAAGTATCTGTAATAGGAACATAGGGGCAGCTACGTAAGGCCCAATCTGGGCCATATTAGGGGAACATTTCAGGGGTACGACCCTAGCGGTGCAACCCTGGAATCCTTCACCATATACCTGCAGTCCCCCTTAAGTAGATAGAATATGGGGTATATGGGGATCGAAAAAACAATATACCCAAAGCCATATTCTATCTACTCATGGGGGGACTATAGAGTAAAGAGGACTGTTCCAGAATCCTCAAGGATAGGTGCACTGACATTTTGGACTATTGAAGCCTCTGGACTGCCGGAGGGCTATCAAAAATTATCATGTGCACTTATAACCCAGACCCCCAAAAGGATCTAAAAAATAGATCCCCTAGAACCATAGGGGAAATCATATAAGGATTATATAGGGNNTCCTCCCAGGGGTCTGGGAACCCCACTCACTAACAACACGGGAAGGATGTTCTGCCTCTGCCCTGAAAGTCCGAGACCTCCATTGATAACCAATTCACTTTGCTCAAGATCTTTTTGTTGAAGTGATGCGCGGGCTTCCTGAGAAAGACAATTCTTGCAAATTTATAATGAGCTGACACCAAACCCCCCCAAACACAAACAAAGCAAACGGCAGGGCAAACCCCCTTGCACGAACACATCTCCAGCCCAAAGCCACAGCTCCTAAACTTCTTAAACCCTAGCCACGAATCACAGCACGCCTCCCCACTCTTTGCCGCCGATCTCTGGGGCCCTGACTACGCCCTGCGTCCGTCAAGCTTGACAGCTTCTTCATGGCATCCTCGGAAATCTTCTGCAGCATGAACTTGGAGTTGTCGCCTGCAGGAAATCTTTTAGAATTATGCCTTCTGCATTTGGTATGGAGTTTCTAGACCAAGGTTGACTTCGGGGATTCAAAACGTGGGCTGAATATTGGCCAAAAAGCGATCAGGGTCGCAGCCTTGGTTTTCCTCCTCCAGAAATCGTACACTAGGTAGGCATGTTCTGAAAAAGACAAGTGCTGTCTATAAGGTGATGCGCGGGGGGGGGACTAATCCTAGTGATTTTTTGCTCAGCGTTGTAGGTCCAGATCGTTTCCAGCTTCGGAAGCATGCGGCTTGCAACAACAAAATCCTTAACAATAGAAGTGAGCGTCAAAGCCGCCGTCCTTCTGGCGTCATCCTGTTAAGCGCGCAGAGAATGATAGTTGTTCTTTCCATGTCTTGCCACAGCAATACCGAGTGCAACCTATAGTGCCCTCTCACTACGGCTAGCACCAGAGCTACGCTCCGAAACCGCAAAACCCCCTAAACCCTATAGTAGCTTCTATTTTCTTTTTCATTATCCTATATAACCTCTATATAACGTGTCCGATTGGCAAGGTCGAAACAGGCTGGGATCGAGAATAGTGTGCTTTCTTATGCCTCGTATGCTTGCGCCCCATGTGTCCAAAAGCTCTCACCATCAGGACCCCCACGACGACCCACCGTGACTTTGCCCCTTCTGAAAGCCTTCTCAAAGCTTGTGGAAAGAGTTGATTGAACCTGTACATGGGGGTTTCCCAAAATTAGGGGTACCATTTTGGGGGTCCCCATAATAAGGACTATAGTATATTGGGGTCTATATTGGGGTTCCCCCTATTTTGGGAATCTACCACATCTGCCTGCATGGAGCTAGGTTGGTGGTTCAGAGTTGTACCCCAGGATAACTCGCCCAAACAACTGTCCTACTCTCTAGCTCCAAGGCTTTTCCTATCTCTTGGCAAAATGCCTTGTATGATACCTCTGACAAACTTCCTCTTCTAGGGGCAAACAAGCTCTCCCTTTCTCTCCCCCATCTCTCTCTCTCTCTCTCCTTCTCTCTGATCCTCTTCTTCTTCTACTATCCATATGTATATCTAAAATACTCATTAAATTTTATATATATATATATATACATCTCTCTCTCTCTCTCTCTTGCGGTTGTGCTCTCGCTCTATTGCCATCACTAAAAGGGTACTCTCCTTGCGACAAGCAAGCAGGGCGCACTGACACCCCAGTAACCAGGGCGATTTATGTACTGTAATTCTCGGACCCTCCACTTCAAGACCCTGAGCCCTGAATCCCAGTCAATTGAATCCCTACAGCTTGATTACTGCATCTTACACACACTGTTTCGGCTCTAACTGGAAGCCATGAATTAATCATACGGAACCCTGAACCCAAAACCCGAACCCTTTCCCATATCATAGCCTGCCCGGGGCTCATTTATGAACTTGGCCAAGACCATCCTCAGTGAAGCTTCTTGCTAATGACACAGACGGTTCTGGAGCCTAGGCCTCTAGGGTTTGGGATTTAGGGGCCCCCTATAGTAACTGTTACCCCCTAGTAGAAAGATCCCCTGGGATCCCAATTGTCTAGTGTAGCTCCCTGGAAAGCCACTCTATACACGTAGGACCCGGCCGAAACAAGACATCCATAGAGCCATGCCCGCGAAGTCGAAGTGTCCATTTTGAAAAATCGAGTAACCTCAGACCTTTAGACTCAAGACCCCCTTCAAGCAAGGCAACTACCTCAGACTACATACAGTGGATACTTAAAATCCTGGATGAACTCACGACTCAATGTACTATTCTGAGGTTATAAGGTGCTTAGGGTCATAAAGGATGTTTTGTGTCAACGGCATATGTTCTTCTCCTGTCTTCAACACAATTTGCTTCTGGAAGGGTGCATCAGGGTACTGGTCCTTAGCTTCAAGATCCCGCTGACGGAAAATGGATTCGACGCGTCATTACGCCGAGATTTTGGGAATGGCCTCAACAAAACCGAGGCCGCGGAAACAATGTGTCCACATTGTGAACTGCGGTGGAACCCCTGGGTGATACACAAAAGTCCCTAAGCTGGCCCAAAACACCAAACCTCAAAAACCCTTACATAAAGAAAAGGCAGGAGCTGCTCAACTCTGACCCGTCACTCCGTGAACCCTACACCCTACAACCCTTCATCTCTGAACCTCGAAACCCTAAACCCTATATACGCCTATTCTGGCAACTTACTTTAAGTTCCTATACAACAGCCCAGCTGGGTTGCTGTTAAGGAACTTAAATTAAGTTACCATAATGGGCATATAAAGTAAAAAATGGAGTTTCCCCAATATGGTAACTTAATTTAAGTTCCTTAACAGCAACCCAGTAGACCGCCAGGGGGCTTCAGGGCCACCTCAGTCATCTCCGCGCTCTCTCCCAGCTCCTCCGCTTATAGATATGTAGGGATTGTTCGAACTGGGGGCTTTCTGGGGACCACAAGGGATAAGTAGGGATTATACGGAAATTAGAATAAGGGTTCTATAGAGACTATTTTGAGAAAATATCCAGCAGTGAAGTACCCTCGTCGGGGCTCGGGGGACACAACACTACTGCTCAGAAATGGCATTGTCACGGGCAGGGACTGCTTGAAGGAAATCTATCAAACAAATCAAGCGTTCACTCGCAACTTTAGTTGGTTGCTGTTAAGGCCCTTGAACTAAGTAACCAGGCGGCAAGCAGACCCGGCGGCTCGTCACTACAACGCTACAAAGCACAACTCTGAAGAAGCCACAGGGCTCTGGGATGTTGTAAAGCTGCTTAGGATTTCGGATCCTATTTGACCTTCTGAGACTTTGAGGTGATTGTATCACACGGGCCACAGCAAATCCAATCTACAAATCCAAACCTTGAACCTCCAGCACAATCTTAGACCCCGAAACCCTTTTGTGTCCCGCCTGATCTGCTTTTGGTGGAGACAGCAGCAAGAAAAACTACTGGGAAACTCGACGAGGCGCTGCCCGTACTCCCGAAATCCTGAATCCAAGACCATGAACTCTTATCACAAATCACGATCTTTGAACCCAAAACCTTTTTCCCACCCTGGAACCTGTAACCCTAAACTCAAAGCCTGTCGAGGCACTGGAACTGCCAACATAAATGAGGAATCAACCGTCCACCATTTAGGGTTTTGAGGGCCAGATGCTGCCACCCATGACCCATGAGTGATTTTTTTTTTACAAGTTAAACTCCTTCTGCTTCCGCTGGTTCTGTGATTTTGTCACGTTGTCGATGAAAACCTGAGGCGCTGTTGTAGAGGTAGCGGTCTCCAAAGGTTGGGACTCCCCTCTCTAAGAGTCCCTGCAATGAGAAAAGGGTATTGGAGTCAATCATTGTTCCCGATATTTACGGAAACCTCCGGATCCTAAATCCTGATCCCCAAACCCATATACCTCTATATGCCCTAATATTGCCTGTACAACCTCTTGGGAACCCCAGGTAGAGCTTCGTTCTTTCCTGAGTACCCGTACAGGATTTACAGACAGTTTGCGCAGCTGGTCGGGATTGCACAGGTTCAAGGATTGGGGTAGATGTGCAGGTTGTGAGGGTTGCGATTACAGGTCTGACTGGGTGTAGGCTGTGCCCGTTGCTTTCTTCAGGAAAATGCATCTTGCCTCGACATGGACAATGCCCTGACTTCAAAAAATGCAAAAATCTAATACACAGGACGTATTTACTTTTATGCGTCTCACCACACTGTCTAGCACACATGTGACGCAAGATTCGCAACAAACAGTAATGTGAGATTCCGGCAAAGCCACAACTGGACGCATCTGACCTAAAAATTCAAGGAAGAGATCATGTGAGCCTTCTCTGAAAGTTGTCATGTTTTGCCTTCGTAGGTGCCCCTGGAATTTTCTTAGGTCCCCCAAAACACCTTACTCCAGTCAGTAGTACACATGAAGCCCATGCCATGCAACCCATCCTTAGTCTACCCGGCCACAGGCTGCCAACCAGGTCTCTTTGCACTCCTACCCATTTTACGGTTAAGGGTTTGTGCTACATTGCTACATTGCAACAGAGCCCAGCATTCAATTTCGCATCCCCCGAGACCTCCTACGGAAGCCAGATGCTCCAGACGCCGCAACCTGAAGCTGCTTAGTGCTGCAAATGCCCTCCAAGGTAGAGAAGCAACGGTTTAACTACCATCCAGACGGACCCTGCATCTGGTTGAACCCTCAATCCCTTCATGGCCCTGGGGTTGCGACGGCCATGATCAAGTTGAAGAGACCGACGCTGACCAACATCTCGACAAGGACGTAGCCCAGGTGGAATGGGGTCCGGTACCGTGGGAACATCTTCTCCTAGGTCTAACTTAGAATGCCCCATTCTAACAAGTAGGACTTGAGGCAAAAAGTTCGGGATTCAGGCTTTAACAGCTTAGATTTGTGTGGCCTTCTGCTGCTGCACTGAAATCTACTTTCGTTTCTTCATGTAAGCTAAGAATTGCAATCAGTGGGACAAAACGGAAAGCATTCCACAGAGCAGCCCAGCTTCGGGAATCGGCTCCCCGTCATAGCCCTCGCATGTCCCTGTGAAGCATCGGAAGAGTGTAAACATCGAAGAGTCCACCGTCTGGAACTCCGGCAAGAACTCTTTCCTCACCCGGCGATCCCAAACATGGGGTCTTCTGATAGGAACAAACTCTTGCTGCAAAATTTCATCAGACAGCACTTCAACCTCGTAAGCGCCCTCCCGCAGAAACTATAGCCACAGGCTTGTAGGGGAGTGGAGGTGAGGGAAAGGGCTGGGCATCATGCTTTGGATGGCTAAAGGGATGATCAACTTCAGCGATGGCTTTTTGGCCTCCCACTAACAATCCCCACGCCGTAAACCCTGGCCATGTTTCTAGGGGCAACGTTTCGGTTCCCCTGCACGGCCCCAAACCCCATGGCAAGCCTGCAAGAAAGGTATGCTCAACCTTAGTAGAAGGCCGTTCCCAGTTCCTTCCCCGC